AGAAGGCAGTGGCAAGGTTCTCGGTGCTGTTGCGACAAAAAACACATGGACATGACAGTGTAGTCACAGGAGTGGGAATCAACTTGAAGGCAATGTCTTGCTTAATCCTTTAGGACCTGCCCGCTAGCTCTCTATAGCTCGATAGTTTGAATATCTAGGGAGATTCTCAAGTCATCCAAGTCCCAAAGGTGCTTTTTCAAGAGGCAACTGGGCTTTTTGAGTTGTGTTGTGTTAGTTGTGCCTTCTTTATAAATTCTGTGACCTGTTCCAATACTTTCTTTGGTAGAAGTGATTTCAACTCTTGGAGGATGTGTTCCACTCTCGCTTTCAAAACCTGAATTGTGAAGTTGTCGTCTTCTTTCACTGTGGAGTTGGAGCTATGTTTTCTGCCCAGTCCCTTCATTGTTGAGCACACACGCAGGCTGTTGGGGATGAGTCTGTGTTGTTTGCATCTCAAACTGAAGTGCAAATGGTTCCGGTAGTCTGCAATTTTTCTGGAAATCGGTTCCTATTCCTGCACCATTCAAAGGGTGTCCATCCCAAAGTGCATCGCTAAATCTCTGTGGAGATTCTCAGTCTTCCAGATCATGGTTGTCCCAAAGAACATGGTTGTTCAAGAGCTGCTCTCTTTCAACAGTGAAAATAATCTGTCTTATTCTAGAATAAGTCCAGTTGACTCTTGAAAAAGCATCTTTGGGACAATGATTTGAGCTTAGTTCCTTCTCTTTTATCCTTACAATGCGGTTTTGTGTGCATTGCAGAGGTGGGTATTCAGCAGGTTCTGACCAGTTCTGGAGAACCGGTAGCAGAAATTTTGAGTAGTCTGGAGAACCGGCAAATGCCACCTCTGACTGGCCCCGCCCCCATCTATTCTCTGCCTCCGGAGTCCCAGCTGATCGGCTGGGTCCTCTTTGGTTGCCCTGCACAGGAGAACAGAGCTGGAAAGCAGGTTAGTGGGGTGTGGAGGGAATGGGGATTTTGCAGTAACCTTCCCCTGCCATGCGCACCAAGCCACGCCCACCAAGCTACGCCATGCCTACAGAACCGGTAGTAAAAAAAATTGAATCCCACCACTGGTGCATTGATATTTCTGGGGAAGAAAACAATTGTGATCTCCCAGCATGATCTTTTAGCCTGGCTAAGTCTAACTATGCAACCCACCCCAAATGCAGATTCACAACTGCTGACAAGCTGGTAATATTCTACTTTTTTTAAGGCGCTCAAAATGTTTCCATTAGAGCTTCTTAATTCCTGTATGGAATTGCTCTCCTAGGATTTCCTTGTGATCTGGTTTGGAACCACCACAAATAGGAAAGCAATTTTTTTTTCCCTTGCTAGGTTTTCCTGTGAATTCCCCCCTCCCCATATTATTAGAGAGGCGTTGTTGCCAAAAACGAATTAGCAGCAGCGTAATTAGACGAATACCATGCAAATGAACTTGAGCAACTGGAACGGAAAAATTCAAGTTGTAATTAGCTTTTTACAGCATCCTTTGCCTTGGGACACACGTTTATTTATTCATCAGATTTGCATGCTACCAATTGAATTTCCACTCCTGACAGCGTGTGTATCTCTGCGTGCTAAAATTAATATAGTGTCCTTTTTTCAGTTTCTTCGTTCCTTTCTCCCCTGCTGACCTTTAAAAAATGCAAGGCAATTGGAAGTTATTGAACAATCTGGTCTTAAAACATTTATAAGCATTCCACATAATCAGTGATAATTTCCAAGGAAAACAGTTTAATATGTTTGAAAATTTAAAGACCACAAAGGCGGTTATGGAGGAGAACACGATCAGGGAGCTTTCCACTGGCATACGGAGTTCTATCAACAAATTATACAGTGTCATAGAATATTTTGTTGATTCCCCAAGCCTCAGAATCCTTACAAAGTTGGGAGGGTTCATACACACTTCTAACCCAGCAGTTCTCAAACATTTTGGCCTCAGGATCTCTTCAAAATAATGGAGGACTTCAAACAAGTTTTGATTTATAAGGGTTATGTCTCTCAATAGTTATTGCATTAGAAATTAAAACTGATATTTTTTAAAAAAAATATTAATTGATTTGACTTCACGGAATCCTGAAAAGGTCTCAGGTCCTCCAGAGTGTAAAAGACCAGGTTCACAGGTGAAGGTCCAACTAAACTGGAAACCGCTTCTGAACTTCGTGCTTGATGTGGAAAAGAATGAAACTTTGGTTTTGGGTTTTATCGAGTAGATTGATAGATCTTTATAGAAATGGCTGGTTCATATTATTATGAAAAAGTAAAAAGCTGTGATTTGTTGTTCTTGCCTTATTATACTGCAACAGAGAGTTGGATGCTTCTTTTTCCTTTTTTCTCCCCTATCTTTCTTCACTTCTCTTCCCCTCTCCCCCCTCACTGCTCTTCTATTTACTTTTGTATTTTATAATACTCTATAACTTAATAAAAATGTTTGAAGATTTTTTAAAAAGGGATCCATAGAATTCAAGAGAAGTTGGACTTAGTTTGCTTGTGGCTACGTCAGGATTCTAGGCTGGGCCCTCTCTTAACTCCCACCTCCCAGACTCTGCCACTCATTTTCTTACAAGGAGTCCCCAGAACACAGTCTGAGATCTGTTTTTCTAATCAAAGACAATATCCATATTTGCAACTAGGTTTGCTGTTCTGTGGAATATGCTCTCCCCCCCCAGAAATCAGATGCATCGTGCCAGATTGGAAGTTGAGGTTAATACAATGGATGGTTCACTCAATCTCATAAAATATAAAAGACTGTCTCAGCCTCGTCGTCTCGCGTGTTGTGTAAACGGTGCCTTTGGTGCCTCTTTGTTGCAATAGACTCCCCAACACCCAAAAATTGAATTTTTGGATCAGAACAGAGTTGGTCTGAAGCCCGACAGATTCCTTAAGAGCAGCCCTCTTCTTCCTGTAGAACACCAGGGTGACTAATTTCCCACCTACTGAAAGCCAGGATGAATTATTGTTTTGGAGAGAAAGAAATGTGAAAGGAAATTCAGCTTCCCACTCAAAAAAGAAGAGGTTTTAGAAAGGAAGGAATGCAACATAAGATTTGGAAAGGGAGGGGGAAGAGTATCTCTCCTACAGCCACTTTGATAGTAATTATTTGCACATTTCTCTATCACATTGACTCTCAGGAGGTGCTGCATCTCTATTTATCTTTCTTTTTTCCTACTCAAGCATTTCAATCCATTTCCTTCCAGTAGAGTTGTTTATGCACCCCTTAGAGATAACATTGTTACAAAAGAGAGGGAAAAAGTCTTCATTAAGATTTTGAAAGTCTTGTTTATTAAATAAGAGTCAAGTGAGCATGCTAAACTTTTCATCTCCAGTTGAGCTACAGCAATAAAAAGATTGATCCAAGGCAACCTTCTCCCAGAAAAATCCACTCATTTGAAGAGCTGGGCAGGGGAAGAGAAGGTTGTATATGCAATGTTTGGGGAAAGATTGTGCGAATAGTCAGTTCTGGGATTCTGGGGGAAGATGTTCAGTTCACAAGCAAATAGAATGAAACACAAATGAAGTGGTGGAGTTGGATACCATCAATGGATCAGAATAGAACTAGAAGGGATGTTGGAGGTCGTCTAGTCCAACCTTCTAACTCAAGCAGCAGAGCCTTTACCATTTCAGACAAATGGCTGTCTAGTGTCTCCTTTTCTTTTCTTTTTTTTTAATATTTTTTGTTTTATATCATACATTTCCTTTCTATGTTGAATAGTGTGCTCTCTAGGTGTCCAAGGTGTTAACATACAAATATCATTATCGTCATTATGATTGTATATTTTATTTATTTGATTTTTCAATTGCTTACAAGATAATAGGTATAAGTAAAAACATAGTTATGATACATGGATACATATAAGCAAAATAAAAGAAACAATAGGACAGGGATGGTAGGCATGTTGGTGCGCTTATGCACGCGCCCTACAGACCTCTTAGGAAAGGGGTGAGGTCAATAGTAGACAGTCTAAGGTTAAAGTTTTTGGGGTTTGGGGAAGAAACCACAGAGTCAGGTAGAGTATTCCAGACATTGACCACTCTTTTGCTGAAGTCGTATTTCCTGCAATCAAGTTTGGTGCAATTAACCTTGAGTTTGTACCTGTTGTTTGCTCTTGTGTTGTTATGGTTGAAGCTGAAGTATTCATTGACAGGTAGGACATTGCAATGTATGATTTTATATACTATACTTAGATCGGACCGAAGGCGGCGTAGTTCTAGGTTTTTAAGTTGAAACCCCCCCCCCTTCTTTGTGGCAGCCCCTCAAACACTGGAACACTGCCAACACATTGACGTGGTCAGTTCCGATCAGGGAGAGGTACGCTGCTTTCCAAATAACATTTGATGATTGGATACCGGATCGGATGGATCGAATCGGTTTGAATGGTTAAGCCAAGCCAGATCAAATGGTTTCAATTTACAGTGTTTAATCATTTTGGATTTTGCTGGATTAGGGTTAATATTTCACTCTCCTGCTAAAACAATTATTGCAAATGGCAAGAGCGAAGTACAGAAAGAGCTCGCCGTGGGGGGGTCAGAATTTCTGTTACTAAGCAAGGCGGTTATTAGGTGAGTTGCGTCTGATTTTACAACCTCTTTTTGACATGGTTATTAAGCAGCTCACTGCAGTTGTTACACACATCGTTAATTGAATCCAGCTTCCCAGTTCACTTTGCTTGTTGGAAAAGCAGCTAGGAAAGTCACAGACATGACCCTGCAACCATTGTAAATACATGCTAGTTACCAAGTGCTCAAATTTTGATGACATGATTATGGGGATATCACAATAGTCATTAAGCGCGAGGATTGGTCACGAGTCCCTTTTTCCTAGTGCCAACTTTGAACGGCCGATACATGAATGGTTGCCAATGGAGACCTTTCTCTAGTTCGAAAGTAGATCGAGATTGGTTGTGTGATCACATCTGGAAATATCTCTCGGTGTCACTTGAATCCTAACACAAACTTTGTTCTCTCTCTTCCTCTCTGTTTTTTTCCTTCCTCTCCAGCTACTTCCAACTTAGACTTGGATGTGAAGAAGCCTACCCCACCAAAGCTATTATGGCATCAACCCGTCAACATATTTTTGGCTCGACCGGTTGGTGTGGAAGACTTACACCATGAAGCTGAGCTCAATCTCCAAAGTTTGCTGCAAGGTACTGAATATCTGTATCTGTCTATCTATCATCTTTCTATGTATCTATCTATCATTTATCATCTATTTTTCATCTGTCTGTCTCTGTCTGTCTATCATCTATAATCTATCATTCATCCATTGTCTGTCTATCATCTATCATTTTTCTATTACCTATTTATTATCTATATCTATCTATCATCTATCCATCCATCCATCCATCTATCATCTATCTTCCAGCCTTCATCTGTCTGTCTGTCTGTCTATCATCTTTCTATGTATCTATATATTATTTATCATCTATTTTTTATCAGTGTCTCTGTCTATCTATCATCTATCATCTTTCATCCATCATCTGTCTGTCTATCATCTATCTTTCTATCATTTTTCTATTATCTATTTATTATCTATATCTATCTATCATCTATATCTATCTATCTATCTATTTATCTATCTATCTATCTATCTATCTATCTATCTATCTATCTATCTATCTATCTATCATTTATCTAATATATAGATTGGGCTGTGGTTTTTTCCCCCTCTTCCTTTCTTCATCAAGCAAATTCCACTCTTCCATGAACCAGTGTTGTTACCTCAGAAGCAGCCATTTTGGGGAGAGCAGAAAAAAACCAATGTTTTGTAATACCAAATTTTGGGAAGGGGGGGGTTAAAAAAAAGAAGAAGCTAGTCACCCCTTTATAAAACCCAAACAAAACAACATAAAAGAATTCCAGCTTCTAATTTTGTTCAGAGCTCCTCATCAGATAAGCAGTTATGGCTTTAAAAGAGAAGATGTGGGGAAGAAGGCAAGGAAATTTTGAAAAGACTGTGATTCAACACTGTGGATTGAAAAACATTTAAAAAGGAAATGAAAGTGCCTTTGCCCAAGGATAGATGAAGAATGAATTGTGTACACATTTTCTTTCTTGTTTTCTTTCTTCCTTCCTTCCTTCCTTCCTCCCTCCCTTTTTCTCCCTCCCTCCTTCCCTCTCCCTCTCTTTCTTCCCTCCCCTTTTCCTCCCTCCCTTCCTCCCTTTTCTTCCTCCTCCTTCCTTTCCTTCATTCCTTCCTTCCCTCCTTCTTCCTCCCTTTCTTCCTTCCCTCCCTCTCCTCTTCCTCCCTCCCTTTTCTTCCTCACCCTTCCTTCCCTCCCTTCTTCCCCCCTCCCCCTTTTTTTTCTTCCTCCCTTCCCTTCCCTTCCCTCCCTCCCTCCTTCCCCTTCCTTCCTTCCTTCCTTCCTTCCTTCCTTCCTTCCT